GACCCTATATTATTATTATATATTATTCTAATGACACAGAAAGCCGATTGAAAAGCAAGCAACGTGCAATATGCAGATTACAAGCCGCGTTTGTATTGCGATGAACGTGTGGCGGAATAACAAGGCGTATACATTACTCACCCAATAGTTATCGTCCGACATGTTTAAATGTCAAATTAGTCTGAAGATCTGATACAGATGAAAGATCCAACGAACACTCCTGAATAATTCCAAAAAAAATATATAGGAATGAAATAAAATTTAACAAGCATGCAGAATATATATGGGTTGGGGTTATTCGCAAATCAACAAATCGCGAATCACAGATCAACGAATTGCAATTCCAAGAAATCCCAAAAGAATTGTGTTAAAATGTGTTAGCATCTCCATAAGAATGTTATTTTAAGTACATACAACATAAGTGTAATAAGAAGACATTGGGGTTAAAGCTGGAGAACAGTAAGGAATCCATACAGTGCAAAACTTCTTGTGGGGTTTCAAAAGTTGTAAAAATAATAATTACTATAAAATTTGTTTTCAAAATGACAGCATATATAGAATTGCGCATCTCAGATCAAATATACTTTTGTTACCAATAAAATAAAAACAAATGTATTTGAAAAATGACACTGGGCGACACTGTAATGGCATTCCAGGTGGTCTACTTTTTAATTCAGCAAGAATTGTTAATTATTGGCAATTCTGCAATAGTTTCTTTCGTCTTGGGTGGCCCAACTGGCGGCGTAGAAAGTCTGTGTAGTTGGATACAATGAAAATGTCCTCCTAAGATATTTGATAATTATTTTTTGAAATTTTGAACCCCAAATAAGCGCCCATCACCCGTGAAATCCCCAGGACGATTTTTCGGATGGCCGAATTTACGGCAGAATCCGGTATTATATAAAGAAAGTATTATTATGGACATCTCGCGCATATTGCCGATGTTTTATACTTGTTTGTAGTTTGCATATGAAAGTAGTTGTTGATGCCCCTCCTATTATTCGACGTCGTTGACAATGCGATAACAATGCCACTCGCACTGTGCACATTTTAGCACTAGATCTAGTGCCATTTTAGCGCTAGATCTAGTGCCATTTTAGCACTAGATCTAGTACTTTTTCGAATTAGTGCTACTAGCACTAGCCACTCGCACTACGCCCATTTCGACACATTTACATCTTACCTACATGAATACAAACAGATAATGTTGGCAATGAGAAATATATAACAACATAAAACTTGTCATGCACGTGTGATGGGTAAATTTGATGTCTTGAAACCCTTCACTTAGGCATCCGGGACTAACAAAAAACACAGAAGCTCAATTCGTGTCACCTTCGATTCTCGTTCGCCAAGACAGCTTCAAATCCCTTTATTAACTTCTCAACTTCTTAGCCATTTACAAGGAAGTATCAAAGCTACAAGGCGTTGCCTCAAATCAAACAGCCAATCACATGAAAGTTTTACACGTCATAACACAATTGATTAATCGTTACTATATTAGGAAAACTACCATCATAGTGTCAACGTCAGTTTATATTTATAGGCGCTAATGGTCTTGCAATAACATTCCACAGTTGACATTCATATACATCATTCGTTCAGGACCCTGGCCACAACTAGTATATGTTTGTAGCTATGCTTCTCGCAAAAATGTCAGTTCGGCAAAAGAAAACGTTGGAAGAATAATCATTAAATCATTGTACTTTTAGCTGAAACTTATAGTAAATTGGTTATAACTGTCAAATTTAACCTGTAATCAAAAATGGCGGCAAAACCATCTGACCAATCGCAATGCGCTATATATAATTTATTCAAAATGACTTTGCTGTGTGGACACGTGGTGTGAACACGTCACTCTGACCCAGAATGCCACAGTAGCAGAATGCGTTGTTATTAAATAACAAAAAAGAAATTGCAATATAAAATATTTCATGGTAACAAATCAGTGCTGTGAATGTTCTGATGACTGTTGTTCGAAATTGTAAACAATGAAAGATGAATATTAGATAAGAAAATCTGATTTTTGTTGATAAATTCAGAAATATGGCAAGGCATTTTGGTTTGTTTGCAACAGCCAAAAAACTAATTTTTTGCTAGCTTCGCGCCAAATGTATCTCCTCCTACAAATTTAAAATACAACACCTCAGATACAGCTCATAGCTTCTGTGATTTTTTTAGCTGGCCCGATTTGGTTAAAACCTCGCATACAAGTCACACCTTCACTCTAGTTAGATTCTAAAATCTGGAAAAAAAATTTGCCCAACCGTTTCCATGGCAACAGCCACAAATTATTTTTTGAATACCTTGGCGCAAAATGCATTTCACCCTTCAATTCTAGGATTAAAATGCAATACTCAGTTTGAGGGTTGGCAAACATTTATTGTTTTTTATGTATATTTTCATTACCGAAAATTTTACCCCAAATTTCATCAGCAACGGCTTTTAACTTCCCTGTGATTATTTTGGCTTGGCTGATTTTGTTCATACTCATCACTGCCATGGCAACAGACAAAAAACTTATTTTTTAATACTTTTGCCCCAAATTTATTACCTCCTATCAGTCTTATATTAGCAGTGCTCGGCAGCTTTTTTTTATTTTGGCTACGTTGTGCACTGGTCAGAGATCACCGGCGCCTACATTGTTACAACTGTATCAACGTAATCCCAACGCAACTTTGAACTATGAATGAACTGTAAATGCTGCCTTCAATCTAGAAAATACTATCGCAAAACGGTTGGAAATAATAAATGTAACAGCAGAATACGTCCTAGTTATAAAGTAAAGTGACTTCTAAAGACTGAATGGATTTTGCGAACTTCGTATACGGGGTCCGGTTTTAGTTTTAAAGTGACGTTAGCTTCACGTTCACGACATCCCATGGAAACAACCGAAAACATGTTTGTTTTTTTGAGCGGATCGCCAACCAGCCTACCGGCTTGTATATACTAATATATAAACAAGTCTTGCCATGAGTATAATTCCTTGCAATATGCCAAATCAGTTAAATTTGTGTATACACTGTAAAGGTGAAATGTAAGTACAGGTAAAATGAAGTGAAAATCTAAATGGCATGTAAAATAAATGTGAAAGATACCATAGGGTCTAAATATATGTTAATACTATTATGGATAGAAATGCCATCTCATACATTGCATGCATAAAAATAGCAGCAATTGGGTACGCAGTGGTGTACAATCCATTATACGAAAACTGTATCCATATTTCAATAGATGGGCTGGACATGAAATGGATGAGAAATATACAAGAATATTTGTTTACTTTTTTGTTTTTAAATGACAAAAAATGGCATACTCAGAAGTTAATTACAGTGAATGCTATCGTGGCGTAGTGCATAATATGATTAAAAGTAGACTGATTGCAATGTTAGCATGGAAAATATTGTTTATAACTTATAGAATGAGCTGCGTTTAAATATTGAAACATTAACATGCATGATACACAGTATGCGAGGTATGTAATTAGTTGCATAAATGAAACACACTAAATGAGAAATGAAAGAAAGGGAGATTGCGATTGGCGTTCTTTGCGTTCAGTATTACTTTAGCGGCCGTCCCTCAGCAAAATAATTTAGCCCAGAAATTTTCAGTGTCAAAACCGCGGAACTATCCGTCTTTACGTAGTCTTGGAAGTCTGAATTACGGAACAAAGTACAGGACGACAAAGCTGAAATATCCAAAATCCAACACACACCAACAATCTAATCAAATCACTCAAAAGTAACTATTCGTGGTATATTTTAAGTCTAACCGTACCGGGAGTGACAACTTACTACTCTAAATATTTGAGTACTGTACATAACACTTATCTTTTGATCTGCGTTATAATTTCTATATATAGCCTTATTTAGCATTATCATGTGCATAGTTACTGTGTAGTATATATCTGATTGAGACGAGTTTAATAAAACACAATACCACTAGTCACCGGTATACTGCACAAGTCGGAATAAAGCAGAATACGTCCTAATAATAAAGTAAAATGACTTCTAAAGACTGAATGTTTTTGCGAACTTCGTATACGGGGGCCGGTTTTAGTTATAAACCGACATTAGATTCTCGTTCATGTACTACCAGCCGAAAACATGTTGCTTGTTTTCGAGCGGAGCGGGTCGCCAACGCTTGTCCAATATTATATTATATCAGTCACTGTACACATAATTGCTTGGTTGTTTTCTGAACACAGGACAACACACGCAAATTTTCAAATAATGTTATCAATATTGCGGAGTGTAATTTAATAATCCATTACTAAACAGGGCGGTAAGCTATATCTTCTTCCCCTTTCTGCGTAAAAAAACATCAAATCCCAGAATTTGAGTAGTCCGCAAGCCAATGTTATAGACACAAAAATGTCATACTCACTTGTTTCAAAGCAACAACCCAGCTATGTACAGTGCCTGCACATTAGATACATTTCTCTATATCTGACCAGTTTATAGTAGCGATTATTATACGAGGAGTTTTATTTAGTAAAATATTTAAAAAACGACTCCCTAACACAGTGTGTATTATGACGGACTTGCAATTTCCACAAACAGTGCTGCTTCGTACAGCTACTAACAACCACAAAGGTATTTAATATTAACGTCATGTAAATTGTAACATGTAAATTGTAACAGACGAACATGTTATATGAACGTAGGAATTTTTGTACTTGTTTAATGAGATAGGTAATTATGTTGAGGCAGCTGAAAATGTGAATATTGGAACAAATGCATAAAATTAAGAAAATAGCGTGAAAGTGAGCATAAGATGATAAAATCAAATAAAATGAATGTGCAACCAGCCATTCAAATCATTTGAAAACGTTTAATTCGTTGGTTTGTTGTTTCGATAGTAACATGATAAATGGTGACAAAATCAAATGGGAATGTTAAAATAATATAATAAAAATGGTGAATGTTCTTGGCATTGGTTTGACCCAACAAATAATATGACAGAACCCCACACCCTGCCCATGACTTTTGTTGCGGGATGCGGTGTATTCTGCTGTACTTTCACTCGTGAAATTACGACCGCATGAAATACTAGTAACTTCCATACGCAACGAAAGCCACGGGGAGGGTGTGGGGTTCTGTTACTATTACATATGTTCCATATTTGATTATCTCATATTAAAGAAAGAACGTGCAACAAAC